AACTCTATTCCAACCCACCTTCTGCTCTACATTAACTTTTGCAGACAGTGCGGAGAATATGTGAACTATGGAGTTGGAGCTTGCTCTGCTGGACCAAGCTCAAGTGTGACATCATTTATAATCAAGTATTGTGAATGATATGTTAAAGTTGAAACATTCTGTCGACAGATTTATCAGTCTGGGCTTTTATAATAGACATTGCCATAACACTAATTGTCAGTCATTTGTGTGTTTGAAAGAAAAGGCTCTGATATTAACTCCCCCCTATGTGTCTGTTCATAACATCATAATTAAACTGTGAAGAAATGTAGCCATTAAAAATGAAGTTTACCATTCAGAGCAAGTTAGGATTTAACTTTAACTTTAAGACCATGCTCCAAAGCCGTGCTTCTCTAGAGTAGTTTGTTGCTTGAACATATTTCACAATGAAACGTCTGTTCCTATCATCTGCGCTGAGATTAAACTTCTCTGGTCACCTCAAGCCTTTTCTCTTGCTTGTGGCCATAAAACTTTTTTTTCCCTGTCTAGTGAAGGCAGTTGTCTTGCTAAGTGAAAGAAGGGCAGAGCTCTGAGTGACTGTGCTGTGAGCTGTAGCACTGATTTGAACAGTCCAGTCCTGAACATCAACAGTGAGCCTGTGTTCCTAGCTAGCAGGGACCCACACTGCTGCCTTTGTGTCCGCCTCTCAGTCCCACCGGGATGGGTCACACTTGCTCCAAACACATACACATTCACATGCACTGAGTAAACACTCAGAGTAAAAGCATTAAAGCCATCGGAGGCAGCCCTTTGAAAGTGTTTGAGGCTTAATGAAGCTGTGGCTGCAGGATGCTGATGCAACATATAGGAACTGTAAGAAGATAAAGAAATAAGTTGACTGTATTAAGATGTTAATTGTGAGTCTTGGCACAGAACAGTGGGAAGTACATGTCTTCATTCCCTGTTCCTTTTATGTCTGGGCTTGTCAGTTTCATCATGCTTCACTGAGTAACTAAACTCTAGAGACGGTGCGGGCATGCCGGGAATTCTCACATCGGGACTGGCAGACACACTTCCTCTCTTATCCTGTTTCATCTTTGGTCAAATGTGGGAGTTGAATAAGATGTATCCTCTCATGCCCTATTTGAACAGAAGCAAACTAAAAATCCCTTCATAGGATGTTGGCTTTGTGATTCAAATAAAATTGTTTGAATCATAACATGTTTGTCCTACTAACAACAAGACTGTCTTTAGTCAAACATTGAAATACCATTCCCATTAATCAGACATATTGAGGATGTAGCTCAACACTGACTAATAGAACACAAGATTCATGCAAAGCTTAGCATCAACCAAAAATGGCATGTTAAGCTCCCCTTGGTTGTAATTGTTTGTTTCTATCAGCTAGTGTTTGCCACGTTTCTTGCTGTCTGGACACAAAGAAAAATGATTGCAACAAATCTAATATAGGCAGCAAGAGAGAGCTGATCAGTCATATCAGAGATATATATATTCATTTTAAGTTAGAACATTCTCAGCAAATGTATTTCCCAACCCCATTCAGCATATGCAATTTATTCAAGCAAGCTTGATTGCACACCTCTGAGGTTTTTGATCAAATTCAAATGACACATAGGAATATATTCATAGAAGCAGGACTAATCTCTAATAAAGCACATGTAGAAACTGGAAATGGGCTGATATAGAGTCCATGAATAAGTAGTTTCTCTGTGTTAGCTAAAGGATGTTAGGGCATTGAAACACTAGCTTCTGTACATTGCTGGTCACAGGCATTTTCTTCCAGTGCTTTACAAATTCTCAACCTGCACTTTATCACCGAAATGCTGCACACAGTGGGTTTAAGTGATGATGTTAATTGTATTTAATCCCTATAGTTCACTCTAAGCATCTACCAGCTCTTCTCCAAACAGAGGTAGATATTCGATTACAAGTGTACACCTTCAAGTCTAAAGCAGTGAGTACTTTGTTGTCTGTAGGTACAAACAGTAGTCATTTAAATACATGTAGTCATTGTTTACCCAAAGGTAATACCATTCTTCATTCTTTTTTAATCTAACCCTGACTCAAAGCATCAAGGTATTCACTCTTTTTACAAATGACTTGGTATTTACTCTTGACTTGATAAGACGTGCGTAGGGAATGCATCCAAAGAGGACCATGTCTCAGTCAATGACAAACCCCCTAGCTGTGTAAATACAGTCCTTCCATCTTGGGTCAGGTTCTCTCCTGCAGCAGCTGGACCCTACTTTATCCAGTCTTGGTCTCCCTGGCACAGGTTTTCCTGGCACCCAGCACTCTGTTGGTTCTGTCTGTCTGCCAGTCACATTGTAAACCTTCAGTAATCAGGCAATTTCCTGAGTCTTGCTGGGAGCTTTACAAATTCCCTGCTGCTTTCTCCTTGTGCTACACATCCTCATGCTATATCCATGTCTTCCTCAACACACAGATGATGTGTTTGCAGCACTTAGAGTTTTCTTTTTTGTTCATTTCCTCATCCTTTTTATTTTGAATTGTGGCACACATGCAAACCTTAACTAGTCCTATAAAACAAAACTTGAATCTGAACTTGCACTCCTCTTTTCCCCTCCTTTTGCCTTATTTCTCCACAATTTCCACTATGACTCAAAGACAACCACAACCATTATACATATTTCCCAGTTGCTAGGCAGTGGACAGTATTTATTTTCCTGCGAACTCGACTTTTCTTTACCACCACCCCCCTGCACAGTCGGATTCCTGTCTGATTTCGTCAAATAGCTTAGTTAAAACCACAAGTGTCTTTTATTTGAACCTTCTGACAGTTCTAGTTTGTTTTAAGAGCATATTGGCTCTAGACTTTTCAGTACTGAGTCATAAATATTCTGGTATCAAGAGGACATGTGGAAAATGGTGTGTGCGTGTATACGTGTGTATTCAGGCTGTTACACTCCTGAGCCTCCATGTTCCAAAGGGAGATTTGGTGATAATGCAGCATTAGCCACCGATCAGACAAAGTGTGTTGTGTAATCGCAACAGGATAAATGTTTTATCAGCCAGACCGTCATCAGGCCCTCAGTTCCTACCACAGCTATCCCCACTGAAGAAGAGCAGCTTACCCTTTTCCCCCCAATCTTGAGCAATTGACAAAAGCATCCTCTATCAGCAGTCCCATCTGCATGTCCAAATATGTGTTTGTTTCAACCAGTTAAGGTTTATTAGTAGAAACAAAGTGTGTCCAGTCCTGTGGGAATTCTGGAAACTGTCTTATCAAAGCACATGTGCTTGTTGGTTTCAGGCTTTTCCTGCCAGCTGGCTACTATGAAATATTAAAACAGAACAGAACAGTGCAGTGCAGGACTTTCTTGCCTCTGCATGTGGGCATGCACGTTGTGCTCACTGACGTTTTAATAATTAAGATAACAGTCAATTGTTATTTTTTTGGGGCTGTAGTTAAACCTCACTCCAGTCTATCAAGCTTTCAGCATTTTTTTTGTAGCATTTGGTTCTCTAACATTACACTTCCTGTTATTTATAATGAGGTGTGGACAGTGTTCTTGAGGGGAAGGTTATTTGTATTGTACTGTAGAAACTTATTTGTTAATCAAAGCAGTAGCAGTGGCACCAAGCTAGTGCAAAACGTTATCACTCATTTCTCAATGCTAGCAGCTCAGGTTCAATGGACAAACTCCAAAGGTCATGTTTACTACTTTCAGGAGAGCGTGCGTGTGTGTGTGCGTGTGTGTGTGTGTGTGTGTCCCACTATGTCACCTTATTTTATGAGAATTATGATAATAAAGATTAATTTTCTGTATTAAAAACTGTCTTATTTCTGATATCAAAGAGACCATTTCGATCGCCCTTTTGCTTAAATTCAATATTGTGATTTTTGAGAGCTAAAATGGAAACAGTCTGGTTTTTTGGGCCATGGTTAAACATTCCATCTGCATTCTCACAAAATAACTATGTACATACATGGAGTCTATGCACACACACATTTCAACTAACTCAGTCTAGATCTGAGTCATTTCCAAGTTTTCCTCAGCAGACAATCTGTTACCAGATTTCAGTTCATGCTCAAGGTGTTTAACAAGCCAGAGAAAACATTTCTGTCCTCTCTTTTCCTCCTGCTACAGTCATTTCACAGACTGTACACCAGATGGATGCGAGCACCATCATCGTATGATTTTTATAATTGCTTGCTGTGGACAGACAATGTCACAGTGTGTTTTCTAGGTTTCACACATCCTTTTGGCTTTGTTGCAGATGTGGTCCCATATGTAGTTTGAGTACAAAGTTCACCAGGATGACACCAACTTCAGACTGTTGAAATCTGCTGGTATTTGCATAAATTGAACAGTAAGTGCACTATTAGCCAGCCCATGCTTCTATTTCAAAGAGAAGTTGGCTGACAGCTGTCTGTAGAGACTATCCAGGGGCGTCGCCGTACATGTGCATGCTGCGTAGTAGTGTATTTTAAGGGTCATCCCAGAGAGCCTTCACCCCAGGCGAGTGAAGAGTGAAGAGTGCACTGACAGGCACCCCTGGGTGGTGTGTGTGTGTGTGTCTACCGTTGGCTTCCTAGTGGCAGATGAGCTCTCTCTGGTTGCCTCGGGCGGTTAGAAATAACACAGCAGTGGATATGAAAAGCCCACAATCTTTCACTGCAACACGTTTCCATTCAAATGTAAACCATGGTAAAGCGTTTCATCGTTAAATAAAGAGGAGACTATGGGGGCACGCGAGTTATGTACTAAAGAGGTAGAGAGGGACCTGGATGTCCCCACTGTGTTATTAAAGACCCCCCTGTATCCCCACCTGAATACAGAAGTGAGTCCTTGTAGATACAGATTGAGACTGGTCTAGGATCAGAATCAGAGCTGGGATATGTAGCAGAGCTGAAGGTGGAGAGGGAGGGGAACGAGACGAGGGTCCAGATGGGAGACAGCTGCACTGGCTGCCTGTTTACATTTTGAACTTAACAGGAGTGTATTTTTAAACCTCTGTTTTTGTTCTGTTTGCAGGTGCTGGAGAGTCGGGGAAGAGCACCATTGTGAAGCAGATGAAGTGAGTTTTGCTTTTCCTTTCATCATCATCACAAATGAATAGATGTATGTCAGTATTTGGATAAAATACATATTTTAAGGAAGGCCTGCACAGTTAATAATAATAATACATTTTATTTTTAAGCGCCTTTCAGGACACACAAGGACACTGTACAACAATCAGCATTTTTAAAAACAGCGATGGATAACAAAAACAGCATACAATAAAGAAATGGAATTGTGGACAGATCTTGAACAGATGGGTTTTGAGTCTGGATTTGAAGATGGGGAGAGAGTCAATATTGCGAATGTCCGGTGGCAGAGAGTTCCAGAGCTGGGGAGCAGAGCAGCTGAAAGCTCTGCCCCCCATGGTGCTGAGGCGGGCAAAGGGCATGGTGAGGTGGATGGAGGAGGAGGATCTGAGGGGGCGGGCTGAAGTGGCGATGTGAAGGAGGTCAGACAGATATGGGGGGACAAGGTTGTGGATGGCCTTGAAGGTGTACAGGAGGAGTTTGAAGATGATTCTTTGCTTCACCGGGAGCCAGTGGAGTTGCTGTAGGATGGGGGTGATGTGATGGTATGAGGGGTTTTGGTGACAATACGGGCAGCAGAGTTTTGAACCAGTTGGAGCTTATGGAGGGACTTATGAGGGAGGCCGAAGAGGAGAGAATTACAATAATCAATACGGGAGGTGACGAGGCTGTGGACAAGGATGGAGGCAGTATGGGGGGTGAGGGAGGGGCGGAGACGGTTGATGTTTCGTAAGTGGAAGTATGCAGACCGGGTAATGTTATTGATATGGGATTTGAATGATAGTGTGCTGTCGAGGATGACACCCAGACTCTTAACCTGAGGGGAAGGGGAAACTGAGGAGCTGTCAATAGTGAGGGAGAAACTGCCAACTTTGGATAATGCCGACGAGAAGGATCTCGGTTTTATCACTGTTTAATTTAAGGAAGTTTGAGGAGAACCAGGATTTTATTTCAGATAAACAAGAAGTGAGGGAGGGTGGAAGTGTGGAATTTGGTTTACTGGAGAGGTAGAGCTGGGTGTCATCTGCAAAGCAGTGGAAAAGTATATTGAATTTACGTAAAATATTGCCAAGGGGGAGAAGGTAGGTGATGAAGAGAAGGGGCCCCAGGACAGAGCCCTGGGGCACACCTGTAGTGACTGGGGAAGGCGCGGATTTGAAGGATTTGAGCTGTATGAACTGAGTGCGGCCTGAGAGATAAGAGTGGAACCAGGTAAGGGGGGTGTGAGTGATGCCAATGGAGGAGAGTCTACTGAGGAGGATGGGGTGTGAGATAGTGTCAAAGGCTGCACTCAGTCAAGAAGGATGAGGATGGAAAGTAAGCCGGAGTCAGAAGCAATGAGGAGATCGTTGGTGATTTTTAGTAGAGCAGTTTCTGTACTGTGACGGGGGCGGAAACCGGACTGGAAGGGCTCATAGAGGCTATTTTGATTTAAGTGAGACTGTAGCTGGGTGGCAACTATTTTTTCCAGAATTTTGGAGATGAAAGGTAAATTAGAAATGGGGCGGAGGTTATTGAAGTTGTTGGGATCTGAACCAGGTTTTTTCAATATAGGAGTGACAGCTGCAGTTTTGAATAATGAAGGAACAATTCCAGTGGTGAGGGAGGCGTGAATGATGGCAGATATGAGGGGAAGCAGAGAGGTGAGGCAAGATCTGACCAAGGTTGTGGGCAGGGAATCAAACTGACAAGTGGAGGGCTTGGATTCTTGTATGAGGTCAGAGATTTCAGAGGGATCAGGGAATTGAAAACAGGAAAGCGACTGATAGTGCGGGAGAGATTCAGGAGGGGAGAGAAGCAGTGGGTTTGGACATAAGTGCTGGTGAATATTGTGAATTTTCTCATTAAAAAACAGCATTAGTGATTCGCAGGTGTCAGTAGAGTACAGGTGGGGAGGTAGGGAGTTTGGTGGCTGGAGAATTTTATTTATCAGTGAGAACAGTGTTTTGTTGTTTCCTTCATTGGAGATGATTAAGCCAGAGTAATAGTTGGATTTGGTTTGAGCAACTGAGTCCTTGTAGTGTAGTATATGGGTTTTGTGCATTTCCTTATGTATAGAGAGACCTGTTTTTTTGTAGAGTCGCTCAAGTTGTTGACCTTTAGTTTTCATTGTCCGGAGCTCAGGGGTATACCAGGGGGCAGTTGAGGAGAAGGAGACAGACCGTGTTTTCACTGGGGCAAGAGACTTGAGAATGTTGTTTAATCCATTATTATAAAGTGCTACTAGTTCATCAGGGTTGGAAAGATAGTCCGGGATCAGAATATTGTCGATATTGGAGCGGAGAGTATCTGTGTTGATGTCCTTTATATTCCGAAATGAGATGAGACGTGGAGACTTGATTGCAGAGAGGCAAAGTGTAGCATTGAATGAAACGAGGAAATGGTCAGTTACATGGTGGAGTTCATCAGCTGTGCAGTTGGAAGGGGTGAGACCAGAACAACAGATTAAGTCCAGAGTATGAGCTTTTGTGTGTGTCGGAAAATCTATGTATTGATGGAATCCAAAACTCTCCAGGCATGATGAAAAGTCTCTGGTAAGAGGCAGATTGCTATTGTCCATGTGTATATTAAAGTCCCCCAGCAATATTACATTTGGTGAAAGAGTAGATAAATGCGATGTCCGGGTGGAGTTGCAGCGCTGGCGGTTGAGGCTCAGGCAGGTGCCAGCGAAGCCAACGAAGTTCAGCGGCTGTATACCGAAGTATACCTGCCACAGGGTGATGGCAGAAAGACAGGAGCGTCCAGAGAAGTGCAGACCAGATGTAAAACTTTCTGGCCCACATAGCGACTGCAACGGCCAGGTGGATCAGCGAAGCCGGATGCTGCGTTGCAATGGGTAGGCTAGAGTTGGCCCGCTCGCACACAAAACGAGCAAAACACAGGAGCAACAACTGAATCGGTGTTTATGCGAAGATAGGTTAATGCTCTAACTCAAATAAAGTGCAATTATGCAGTCCATTCAGGCCGTAAAACCAAACAAAATACTTAAAAATAACCGGTGAGCAGCGGCAGCAAGACGCGCCAGCGTCCAGTTAATAGAATTTCAATGGAGGCCTCAGTTTTGGGCTTCCCAGGATCAAAGACACATGATTGAATCCAATTGTTTGTTAAATATGGCTGCTCAGCCCGTGGAAAACTCTGTGTAAAATAAATATATTACCTATTTAAATCCTCTTAGGTTAGTCCTATATATCATGTTCTGTATATTCTCTAACTAATATTAATGTTTGTTTATGCTCTACTGAGCTGTGGCTCAGTTGGTAGAGTCGGAAGGTCGAGGGTTCGATCCCCAGCTGGGCAACATGTCCGATGTGTCCTTGGGCAAGACACTTAACCCCGAATTGCTCCCGCTGCTTCGGTGGTGGTGTATGAATGTGATTAGTTACTTCTGATGGATGATACTACATAGCGATCACTACCATCAGGGTGTGAATGGGTAGGTGTGACATGTGGTGTAAAAGCACTTTGAGTAGTTGGAAGACTAGAAAAGCGTCCATTTACCATTTACCATTTACTTTATTCTACTCAACTTGCTTCCCTTCTGTTTTCTTCTACACACACACACACACACACACCCTGCAACTCTCTCCTCCTCCCCGCCTGTTTATGTCTGCTATGTTGACAAAATTCTTAAAGTCCCCTAATCCGACTCACATCTCATGATTCCTGATAACAACAGTTGATCCGCGTAACATCAGACCTTCCACTTATCATTTCATTTATTGTAGTTAAGTTACTGTCATAGCTTGTGATCAAGCAGAAGTTCTTTGACTCTTTTTCAAAATAAAAGCAAGCTTTAAAAAAAAAATCCAAACAGGAAATAAAGTACCCTTAGTGTGAGATGGTATAAAATACAAAATAAAAGCACAGCAAAGAACAGTTCTTAATTGTTAACTAGGTCACTCAGAAAAACTGTCATACTAGGTTACATGTTATTCAGTATCAGCAAATAAAAGACTTTGTTAGTGGAGAATAAATACTGAACACTACATCTTTTCTTTGATCATTCTGACATAATTGTGCTTTAGTATGGATGTTGTGGAACATCTGGGGGTCTCTTCTGCCTGATTGTTATTGGCCTGTCGACCAAAATGCTTTAATCTTTTACTACTGCTTCTGAGTACTTCCCCACCATAATGTAATCTTCTAGCCTGGAGGACGGAAACAATACTTAAATGATCGAACAGTTGGAGAAAGGAGGTCGGTCACGGCAACAGGAACCAGGCGAAGTTCCTAAAACGCTCCTAGACCGATCCAAAAAGATACCATTATTTCTGCCCAGATCATATTATCATATAAGTCGTTCCTCTTGGTCTGCTGATTGTTTCTGCTTCCAGCTGTGAGCCTCAACTGATTATTAAGGGATTTTTTTAAAAGACCAAAAACTTGTAAGGCAAACCGTGAGGCGAAAAAACTTCAGAAATAATTTGTTCACGAATAGTCTCCTAAAATAAAAAAAATGAGGAGAAGAGCACTAGTTTTAATTGTCTCTGTATTTGAAGGACTCTGATTGTGTGTATTGAAGCCTAAATGGTAGCTCCATGGCTGAAAGCCTCCTACTTGTCCTGAAAACAAGACTGGAGAACAAAGGGTTCAAATGCATCTCAGATATACGGCTCTCTGAAATGGTCTATATATATGAATTTATGTTCTGGAGTCCTTTTTATGGAGGCTGAAGTGAAAGAGCTCTGTGTTGTCTCCCCTCTCAGAGGAGTGGGAGTGAATTATTTTGTCTGCCTTCAAATAGAAAAGAAAAATAACTCAAATGTTATCCCCAGACTAGACTCAGAGTTATAAGACAATCATAGCATATGGAAATCTATTATTTTCCATTCTATGTATGTAATATCCTCACTCATAATTCTGACAAAGGCATAATTAAACTGGTAAAGGTGTTTGAAACTTCAAATGAAGGGCTTTTAATGAATCCAGATGTGAAATTGTTCAAACACCCCATGGTTCAGTGTTTTACATATTTCACATCAAACAAACCAAACTTTTCTACATAAATTGAGTCATTAGTTTAAAAAGAAAGCTATTTAAAGCGTAGTTTAACAGATTGAAGTTGTGAAGCAGGGCTGGTTTTAGGTGTTCAGTACAAGAATGGAGTGATTATCTGAAACTCTGCAGGATAAGTACGTGTCTGTATTGTGTGGAAGATCTTGTCTCAGATTCAGGTTAAGAACTTAATGTCCTATCATTGAAGTGAATTAGGAGTAACTTTGCCTTGGAGGGTTAAGAGCTCTATGAGTGCTCCCTGTAGACTGTAAATACAGTTAAGTTGATCTGCTTTGCAACATGGTGTTCAGGTGTTCAGGTGACACGATGTCCTGGATTCATTAAGTAATGAGCCGGGACACAGCATATTGTTTGGTGACAAATAAGCATTCAAATATACTTTATATTTGCTCATAATTTTTCTTCTGCTCAAAATCAGGTCAATCAAAATAGATTTTTAGAAAATTGAGCAGAAGTATTGTTTGGCTAAAGAGGAAACACTGTGTGCTTTCAGTCCTCCTGGCTCTGAGTCACAGTGTTTCACAGCGGGCTCACTTGCATTTTAATGATCTCCCATTCAGCACATCATTCAACCAATGAGCATTCTGGCTCTGTGACTCCGGTCTCTGTGCTGTGACAGGCCAGGGGAGATAGTTCTGTTTGCTTTATAGCCCAGCAGCCTCATGCTTTTTCCAACCACATGCCTACTTTCTCTTTGTCTCTTTCCAAAAGCTCCAAAACAGAACAAATATTTGTGGAAGTGAAGTGTTCTCTTGCAAGAGAGATACAGAAAAAACAAACTTCTCCGCAAACGCCACCAGTAATGTGACCTGTGATCCCATACAGACATGACTGAAACATCTTGTTTGGATTTAGGAATTGTTAATTGAATAGATTATATCAGATGAGGTTTACTAATAACAAATAATGGACAGCATCTTCACAATGAGATTAAATATTTAGCAAGACTGACAGGCTTTCTCGTTTTCATGAGCAGCTTCAGCTGAAAAATAAACTAAGAAAGCGATGGAACGATTATAGTAAAAAAAATAAACAGATGAATAAAAAGGCTACAGAAGAAGAGGCATTTCATTTCAAATAGAAACCAGGTGTAGTTTCAAAGCAGAGACCTGACATCATGCAGCAACCTCAGGTGTTGAAAAATGAAGCCAATGCAGAAAAGTTAAAAAACTGCTGTTCCTGGAGTGTCCACTTGGGGCTGCTTCCAAAAGCCCTGGAAGTCACATACACACCTTCTAAAATGCCATTCTTGCAGCCTGGTAAAAACAGTGGTTTTGTTCTAAATAGTTCATGTCTTCATGGACACACACTGTAAGGGTCAACACACACTGTAAGGGGGTCATTTAATAACTCATCCTTGTGGTTTTATGAAGGATAAGAGTTATGCATAATAAGGGGCTTCACTTATATGACTGCCGGCGCGTTATAGCTTTCTGACAGAAAGGCTTTATACTCACCTCAGTGCCTGAAGATTCTGTTAAGGTGGAAAAAGTACCTGTTAATCATGAGAAATAACATGAGTGATGTAGAACATTTAGCTATAATGAGATCCTTGTGCTTCTTCTTGCTCTTCCCCTCCCTGTCCCTGGTCTCTGTCGTCAGGATTATCCACGAGGATGGATACTCAGAAGATGAGTGTAAGCAGTACAGAGCGGTCGTCTACAGCAACACCATCCAGTCCATCATGGCCATCATCAAAGCCATGGCCAACCTGAAGATCGACTATGAGGAAGCTACTAGAGCGGTAGGTGTTCATTTTACTCAGTCACCAGCAGCAAGATGAAACTAAAAAGATGTTCTAATCCAACATAAATACTTACTGCTGACATAGCTCTGTATTGTTTCCATGCTATTTGAAATCTGTTGTTAAGGATAAAAGTTGATGTAAGTGGTAAAACAAATCTTTAAAGCCTTTAAAGTCCAGTGTAATACCGCTGCAGTCAGGTCAGTGATATCATCTCTACTCATCAGCACCACATCCCCCTCTCTGCCTCTGTTCTAACTGCATCAAGAGTTGAGGATTGAAGTCTACAGAAATTGTACAGAAAGCACGATAATTTCACCGGTGTGACAGTTCTACTTGAAACATCAACTCTGGGTAGCAGATGCTTCAGATGGACTCCTGCAGGGCTGTGTATTGTCTGTCCCTGCCTGTTTGTGTGTCCGTGTGTGTGTGCTGCAAAAGGAAACAGTAAATGACTGCCTTTCAGCGAGCGGGGACCGCCCAGGGAGATAATAAGATCAGATAAAATAAAATGTGGTATTACACTTAAAAGGAAAAGATGATATTCCTTTTTTCCCCACTCTGGAGCGATCTTGTAAATGGGATTCGTTTATTCTATTTTCACTGTTCATTCAAAAGAAAATGTCTCAGTATCTTTACTTGTAGAGGATAAATCAACCAGAATTTGTTAAGAGGCAGCTCTGTCCTTTTTACATCACTCAGTACGGCATGTTTCAATTCAGCTGTGCTGCAGAAGTGTGTCATGTGTGGCAGTCGAGGCCACACTGCTTTGTAGTGCTACTTAAACGTGCTTTCAGCAAGACAAGCAACTGAAATCCAGATTTTATTTTGTATTGGTAATAAGCCTTATTATGCAGTTTCTCTATGGCTTCAGCTCTACCTTTTTTCTTGTCCCTCTCTGGTGTGACCTTCACGTCTAAAGTTGTTGGATAAACATGGTTCATGGGGAGAAAGTGTTTTCATTGCCTTGTTTATGTTTATTATTGGAGTTACACCTCCCTACACACTGTGCCGAGCTACAGAGAGCTTAGACTGTCTTGAAACACTTGGCAAATTACAATCAAAACAGACAGCCTTGATAGTCACTCTGAATGCTGCTGTTCTTTTGTTGAATCATAGGATTTGAATAGCTGCAAGGTGGCACACTGTAAAGGACTGTGGAGGGTCAGACAATGGTTAACTAACACATGAAAGTCTGCTCTGAATAGCTAACATCACAGGTGTATGACCTTGTCCTTTGTCAGACATAGGATGAAGTGTAAGCAGTGGACGGCGCCCCCTTTTACAAACATCAGTAGTCTGTCCCCACTCTGATTCAGGTGTTTAAAAACTGTAAGACTGGATGGCATGGTTGGATGTTTGTGCAGGTGAGTGTATGCCATTAAGACTGTGGGGAAAGAAACTTTCTCATAACCACAATGTTCAGGATAGAAATGTGTCAAGTGACAAGAGTCTTAAACTGGCATTGAGCAGCAGAGGGGCAACTCAAGTGAAGTAAAGCAAATGTAAATAGTAATGTGCCGTCCGTTTGTTTGTGTCTCATTTAGAGGCTAATAGAAGGATCACAGTCCATGTTTGAGAGTGAGAAGTGTGTGATGGCAGGCCAGTGAGTGATGAAGAATAATCTGTTCTGTTCTCGTCATATTTCTCTGGTGCAATCTGATTGGTGGAGCTATAATATAGTTAAGTTAAGACCCAAAGCATGCCAGTCAGACTTGAATTGAGGACCATGACAAGAAAAGTTCCATTTCCATGTACTGTACCTCTTCTCTGCAATAATTCAGACATAAAGCAAAGCTATAGGCCATATAAAATATGTAAAATACGAGCAATGTGGAGTAAATAAAGCCGGTGTTTCCCAGAGAATAACCATATACCTGCGGTGGTGGCAATGGGGGAGCTTTACATACTTTTATACTGTCCATATATTAATAATATGTTAATGTTTAACATCAGGGATTTAAGGATGACTGAACAGCAAACATCTCTCTTCTATCTTTCTCTTTCTCTCTCTTCTGCTTAGCATACAGATGCTATTGGTGACAGGTATAAAGTGAATAAAGTAGTTTATCGTTCTTAGATGGTGATCGTATACAGATTAAAATCATTTTTATAAAGCAAATACAGTCATATAGATAAACTTGAGCAGCTGGCCCATGTAAAGTCTATGTGTGGGGAAACAATGAGTTGTGACTAATGAGGCTTAATGAAAGCGATATCATCTTTTTAAAGGTTGTGTTTGTGTATCTTGTTTTTTGTCAGGATGATGCCCGCCAACTGTTTGCCTTGTCTGCAGCTGCAGAAGAGCAGGGCATCCTTCCAGAAGACCTGTCCAACGTGATCCACCGACTGTGGGCCGACGGTGGAGTCCAGAGCTGCTTCACGCGGGCCCGAGAGTACCAGCTCAATGACTCAGCTGCTTAGTGAGTGCAGAACTATCATAAAGTCACATAAAGGTCATTCTGTGCTGGTTTACAAGACACAACAGTGTAATAGATTACATTACTATGACCTTCACTAGGTAGACATTTAAAGTAACCAAACAAAGGGCTTTAAATGTTTCACTCTGCATACAATGACTGGAAGACTTTCAGGCTTGTGACAGCCACATACATATATATATAATGTGTGTATATATATATATATATATATATATATTTTTTTTTTTTTTCCTTCAATGATTGCTGTGGGGATAACAGGGGTAGATCCATTAATTGACAACGCTCATATCCAAGCCTTAATTTAGACTTGTCCTGCACAACAGTCATTTGGTGGTTGTACTTCAAGTTTTTGTTGCATTTCAAAAGGTAGCGCAGGAGGTCTGAGGAGAGTCATGGAAAAACACAACATTCTCAACCGTTCATTTTTGAATTTAGAATGATCTTTATTAAACTTATAGCTGGCTTTTCACAGTCCTTTTCTCTACCCATTTAACAAACACCAAACTCTCCTGTGAGCAGCCACAGTCATAATAATAATGAAGACATGACTGTTTTGTTTATTCGACCAGTTGCTTTGCTAATCATCTAAAACACAGTGACCTCAGCCTCTCTCCATAGTTCTTAATTACCTCCATTACCCTCATCTCCGAGTGCTCCATTTGTTGGCCTCATTGTCATAATGTTCCCGTCTAATAACAAGGAGAGCATAAGGTAATTGTGAGAGGCTGCTGGTGGGAGGTGAGAGGTGGTTATCGCCAAGACCCCCTGGGGGGTGCACTGCTGCACTACAAACTGTGACAGCCATGAACCACACTGATTTCTGTTGAATGCACACGGCCTTTCATCATTTCTCTGACACCTGCAGAGTGTACTTTAAAGTGTCAGGGGAGTTCTGTGTTTCACCAATGATTGCTTTGCAGTCATGGTACAATCTAACTACCAGGAGTTCTTCTCTGTTTGTGTTGGCCTGTAGACCTCTACTTCACTGCTCCTGTTAAAACCAAGGGAACCTGAAAGCATGCTGCCAACACTGCCTCGACTTTAGTGTGAACCATGTTTCATCACAGCTCTGTAGATTGCCGTGATAATGTTGCTTTAAGAGAGGACTAAATGAGTTTTGCACTAGAGAAAATTCTATGTCTGAACACCTGCTGAGAGCCAGAGATGGCTCAGCTCACATTAACAGAGACCTGTCCTTTTCACTCCCTGCTTTGATAGAAAGGGACATGTTCTGTACACTTTGAAAAGAATGGATCCAGCTGCCATTGTTGGTAAATGGTAAATGGACGCTTTTCTAGTCTTCCAACTACTCAAAGTGCTTTTACACCACATGTCACACCCACCCATTCATACTCTTTCACACACTGATGATAGTGATGATCGCTATGTAGTATCATCCATCAGAAGTAACTAATCACATTCATACACCACTACTGAAGCAGCGGGAGCAATTCAGGGTTAAGTGTCTTGCCCAAGGACACATCAGACATGTTGCCTAGCTGGGGATCGAACCCTTGACGAACCCTGATTGGTTGAGAGGCGACGACTCTACCAACTGAGCCACAGCCGCCCCATTGTTGCACTGTAGTTGTTCTGTGTGAAGCAATATTTGCTGGTTTTAGGCTGTAAATGTTTTAGGCTGTAAATGTTTACAATAGTTCCAAACTGGGCTTCAAATAATCATTCACACCCACCACTGACACAAATCAACATTGTGAGGAGGGTTAATAATCTCTTGTTAAATCTTATAAATGACCAAACCAGCGGTGTGACACTATCTGATGTGTGGACTACAAAAGCAGGCTCAAACCTCTGTAGGGAGCGGGATTATAATCAGACTGTCAGACAATAGGTACGCCCAGGCTGTGGTTTGTATGGGATTACCAACACTTTGTTAAACAACTAGGTTATTATTATGAAGCTGAATATTGTGATGAAATCTTGGCCGATAAGACTCAAGCCTCAGGCCTTTAGTCTATCAGCCATAGTAACATTATATGTATGAGGTAGAGAGAATAAAAGCCAAGTGTCAGCACAGAAACGTATCTGATGTTTCTTTATTGCAGTATTGGAGAAAAAGAGGATGTCACCAACTGACAAGGTGCATGAAGAGTGAAAAGCAACAGTAAGAAGATCAACTTTATTAACAAATTTAGGTCTAAATTGTTAATAGTTGATCTTCTTACTACAAGTGTTGCTTCAGCATTTTGACCTCTCTTTATTACAGTATATCAGAATATTTAGACAGAAGTCCCAGACATGCATCTTCATGTCCCGTGGCAAGATTTTAATTTTTTTTAAGGTTTATTTTGGAGGTTTATGTAGAGAGAGGATAGTGCATAGAATCAGAAATCTGGGAGAGAGAGAGAGTGGGAAAGGAGCCACAGCCTCCATACACTAACCACTAGGCTACGTGGACCGCCAGGATTTAGGTTTTAGGTTTTACATCCCTGACCATAAGACACAAAAACATTTAATCATCAGAAAGTACAGTCACAATAAATGTTTTCGTATATGTTATTGAAGTATTAAACGTTCAAAGACATTTGTAAAAAGTTTATCTTGTCACAATGAGGGAACAGACGAACTCTTTCACTTTGTGTTGACAGGACAGCTCTCTCTCTCTCTCTCTCTCTCTCTCTCTCTCTCTCTCTCTCTCTCTCTCTCTGAGGTTTTTATTGAAAATGAAATGTTTCTTTTGTTCCCATCAGCTACCTGAATGACCTGGAGAGGATAGCCAAGTCTGATTACATCCCCACACAGCAGGACGTGTTGCGGACCCGAGTGAAGACCACAGGCATTGTGGAGACACATTTCACCTTCAAGGACCTGCATTTCAAGTAAGACACCCGCCCCACACAGCCTAGTGTTTTAACATAACATGTGCAACAATATGAAGTTCTCCATATTAAGTTATCCAAATGGTCTGATAACAAAAATAAAGTGAAGTGAAGCATTGTTGCTATTTCAGACACCAATATTCAAATATTCAAATTAAATTTAGTAATCTGAAAATGTTATTTTAGGAAAACTCCTCTGTTTGCTTATGAATCACACGTCTGTGTTTGGTACCAAAGTGTCATGAGTGTCATGTGAGTTTGACGGCACTCTGTGTGTTTCCCTTTTCTGGAAGGTCGTTGAAGTTCACTGAAAGAAAAATATTTGTTTTCTGCTTTGTGGACTTTTTCTGAAGCAGCTAATGTCTCAAATCAACAACTGATAGTCTGATGTCTTCTTCCTCCACATCAAACTTTTACACTGGGCATTGCTTTCACAGAGGGGAGAGAAACCAGTTATAGGAAAATGTTAAATAAGAAATGTTTGTCATACCAAGCAAACAATATGCATTTGCTAAATGGTTATTACTCAGTCTTATGTGGAAGAAAACTTTGAAGGGAAATCAAATGAACAAGTTCATTACTTTTTGACTGTGATCAGCCCTGCCTCACACAAGTGTTCTTCCTTTTATGCAAATGTTCTTAGTGTTTGTGTAACTGATGATGGTGTTTTTTCCTCTTGGAGATAATCAAATCTGAATTTGTGTCGGTTCAGGGGCGACACATTATTCTTTATATGTGAAGGAGCTGTTAGTCACTTGAACACTTTGAAAACAGCAAAAGGATGTCTCTGTAACATGTCAATGAAAATGGCTTCATCACATCAGTGAAAAGGAACAACCGCTTCTTCTTCTTCTTCTGCGTCTGCTTTGTGTCCTTGTGTTGTATTCATGTCGTGATTTATTTGATTTCTTTTTGGAGAGACATTAGCCAAATCCATCAAGCACATGTTTACCCAAAGAGCTCCTCAGTGCTGTGATATATTTAGCTTCTTGAAGCAGTGCTGGAGATGAGCAGGCTGTTGGTGTAAACACTATAAGTGTGTAACTGTTATAATGAGCTCTGCTGCTTACTCAGCTTCAAAGCTTCCCGGGTCGACTGGACTCAAAGTTCTGCAGTGTGAAAACGGCTTAGCAGGAGGAACTGCGTTTCATGACTGTGTTACTCTGACATGTTCTAAAGGTTAGGCTCCACCTATAGCAGCAGCTGAACATCTCCATCTCCACCGTCCAGACTTCACCTGTGGAGAAACCTGCTGCCATCATGCATTCGATGCTGAAGTTCACTGTATGTTTGCAATTTGACACGAGGATTAGATTAAATAGAAATAGAATGGAAGTTTCTGGGGTTTTAGAACAATCCTGCTCTAAACAAAATTGCACTGTTGTCTTTAGATAGCTTGCTTGACTCCATTAAAGTGACTGAAATGATAGAATAACAGGACGGTTTGGATCCTGTAGTGTGGAGAGAGAGAGAGAGATAATAACCTCACCTCGTCTTAAGGCCATGCTGTTACCTCAGCAACTGCGCTGCACTAAAATGCCAACAAAGGCCAGGAAAATGACAAGTGAACACCCTGCCCCGAAGAGAGAGGACGATGCATTCAGTGCAAAGAGACACACACACACGTTTCCAGAGGGAGACCTTGAGTCTTGCCTTGCTCGTCTGTCAGTGTGATAAAATGTTGTTTCTCCTGCGCTCAGTCCCATCGCTCGCTCATAAAAAAAACTGCAGGTTTACAGCGTGTGTCTCTGTGCAGGATGTTTGATGTTGGAGGCCAGCGCTCGGAGAGGAAGAAGTGGATCCACTGCTTTGAGGGAGTCACAGCCATCATCTTCTGTGTGGCCATGAGCGCTTACGACCTGGTGCTGGCCGAGGATGAGGAGATGGTGAGTTAATTCCCCATGATTTTAAATGAGAAGGGAGGTGCAGGGTGACAGGAACTCATTTCCTCTATGTGCCCTAGATGCGCTCTCTAATAATCTCTTTATCTCCACATTTGTGCCCCGTCCTGCCCAGAACCGAATGCACGAGAGCATGAAGCTGTTTGACTCCATCTGCAACAATAAGTGGTTCACAGAGACGTCCATCATTCTCTTCCTCAACAAGAAGGACCTGTTTGAGGAGAAGATTGCCCACAGCCCTCTGACCATCTGCTTCCCCGAGTACACAGGTAGAGTCCCAATGGTTCAGTACAAACACAGCAGATCAGATTACGTATTTATAAGTCTCAAATTATGCATCTAAAAAAAAAAAAGAAGTAAAATATTCTCTATCTATCAGGTTATACCTACATTTGTTTCCATTTGTCACTTATTTCTTCCTGCACTACAATGATAAAAAAGGTAAAATCCAGTTCCACAGGATCATCCTTTTCTCTGAACAATGATTTTTCAGAACTCTGGAAAAACAAACAATTAGTGCATTTGTTTCCTTTAATCTTTAAAGGTCACATATTCTACTCCTTGTTAACAAGTTTAAATAAGTCTCAGAGCTCCTCAAAATATGTGTGTGAAGTTTCTTGTTCTAAATCCACTCTGATCCTGTATTTGATCATGCCTATAAACCCCTCTATTTCAGCCCTGCTCAGAACAGGCTGTTTCTGTGTCTGTACCTTTAAATATGTAAATGAGCTGTGTCTGACCACGCCCCATGAACGCTTTCTTGCTCCATGTCCTATTGTTTACGGTGAGAAGGCAGACTCAGAGGGCAGAACAAACACCTAGCTGTGGGAGTGTCACCCACCTGGGGGAGGGGCTACTGCCCTTTATGATGTCATGAAGGGAGAATCTCCAAACAGCCTGTTAGGCTTGCCTGTCAGGCAAAGACTGAGAAGATGGACTTTTCTCATAAAAGGTAGAGTTTGTAGACAGACAAGGGACACATATTAGTGTAAGAAAAAGATGGTAACGTGTATTTTACATAATATGTGAGCTTTAAAGATTCTTCTAATCATCTGGATACAAATCAATGAATGCATAAAGTCTGTGTTCCGCATAAGAAACAAAACAATTAATTTATTATAACTTTATTTGAGACTGCTGTTCCCAGTCCAGGTAACAAATATTACCTTTTTATTTTCCTACAATCCTAAAAAATCAGAAAAATAGAACTGAAAGGTAAACTTTTAGAATTTTGGATCCAATTGTATAAATTAAGCGAAGACTTATGGTTGTGAGTGACTATCTTCATTTGAATTAGGAGCCCAGCAGGAAGAAATGATATAATTTTACTCTGGTCAGAAGAGTCCTCAGGACTTACTAAAAACCTTAGAATCAACATTTGGGTACTCTGTATTTTTTTTGTGACTCAAATGAAATGGAACTACAAGAGAAAATGGAAACTCATTTCCTCATGACACCTCATTAAAGAAACTCCTTGAACCAGTCTGTGTCGACAGGATTTCAAACTGCCAGTTTCCCTCAGCTCTCCTAACTCTCCTCCACTCTCCCCTCCTCAGGCCCCAACAAGTACGAGGAGGCTCAGGCTTACATCCAGACCAAATTTGAGGACCTGAACAAGAAGAAGGACACCAAGGAGATATACACTCACTTCACCTGCGCCACCGACACAAAGAACGTGCAGTTTGTGTTCGACGCCGTCACTGATGTCATCATCAAAAACAACCTGAAGGACTGTGGCCTCTTCTAAAGAAACATGTTGGAGAGGGTCAAGGTGAGTTCAGACTTCAGATCTCTCCCATGACACAAAACGCAGCCTGTTGAATATAAGAGTGTGTGTTTGTGCTTCTTTTTAGATTACTTGAACAGCTCTGGTGACCACAGCGAGAGGACATACACACATCATGAATGACTGCACTGGCCCACCACCATATCTGCTTTGATCTGCTTTTTATAAAGACACCTAAGAGACTGAAAACCTGACGAGCCTTGTGGAATTTCAAAGATTGCTGATCCAGTCACTCGTATTGTTAACTCTTTGGGCTATTACCACAAAAATCAACCTTTGTTATTGTATTTCTCTTTTTTTGTCTTTCTTTTCAATGACAGCCGTAGAGGATTCAGAGGAAATGTTTTTTTATATATAAATGCATTCATTTTACTTTTAGAAATTCTGATGTTCAAATGAAACTTTTAATCACATGAAGCTTATTTTTTAAGAGCAAAAGGCACAGGAGTAGACTTAAATATGATCGATGAAAGGAAAGTGCTTTTTTTTTTTAAATAATGTTTACATAAGTTCATTATTCATAGCCAAACTGTATTATGTTCTGCACATCTCAACTTGGCAAATATTAGCTCTGTAATCCACACAAATGATCTAACATTCCTACAAAATGAAAATAAAAACTAATAAAAGAAAAAAAAAGAGACAAAAAAAAGCTTGAGATGCTGGGGGAAATTCTGTCAAATTCTAACTGATATTTAAAGTATGTGTTACCTAACATCCTGTCACTTTTTATAGTACTATTTCCATGTCTGTTGCAGTATGTTGTGCCTTGACTTTTGTTTACAATCAATTCCTAGATATGCTTTCCTTACTGTTTGACCTACTTTGCGCCTATATATTTCTTCCATTTTTTTTCCTGCCTAGCACCTATGAATATATAGTTATGATTAATGAGAGACAAAAATCTAATTCAGAAAAAAAGGTTAGTGTTTTGGTAAATATTAAAATGCTTTAAAGTCCTTTATGATTTAATTTAAATAAAAGTAGAGATCACCTGACTCTTGCATGTTATTTGTTTCCTCTCCTCTTTGTTACTCTCATGTTTTAGTGCAGCATCCATTTTCAGTGATAACTCTCCAATGAAGGCTAATAGCTTCTCGTGTGTTCTGTTGCTACACAGGGTATAGATGGGAAACGTTATTACAATTGAAGTGCCCATGTGGGGGGTTAAGAAAGAATCAGCCAGTTGTTGCTTGACAGATTAACACATAAAGGTTTTTGGACAATATCAGAGGTTAGATTATTCATTAGGTTACATCCAAACATCACATCTTCAATAAGGAAGATCCATATATATTATTAGCTTTCGAAAGCCTTCAAGTGATTTTGCTGAGAAGGACATGTGACCCTGAAGCTGAACAGAAACTAGGTTTGTTTATGTAAACAATATAATACAACACAATAATACAATATAGTGAAGCAATAATAGCAAATGTTAAACTTTAGCAGGATAGCAGTATAAGAGTCAGAGTACATACATTATCTGATGACAGTTACTGGTCATGCAAGACACGGTGAAGTTAAACCTTTGGTAAGGTTGTTTTATAATTATGTCAATGATTTTTTTCATTTATAAGAGAAAGCATATTTTTATATGATTATATATCATTTTCACAAATGATGTGGACTCATTCATTTAAATTCATGAAGAGTACAACATGCATGGATGGTAAAATTGCTTAGTTTTATGCTGACAGAACACAGACAAATCTCTAACCACAACTTCCTAATGGAGACTTGACTTCGAACGGACTTATGGCACCATCTAGTGGACATATCTAATAGTACACATAGAGCGGGGGTAAAATCAAACTGACTCTGGACAGTGTAGTGTCAAAAATAAGTCTGTCTAAGGAGAACAATGGACATCAAGATGCACTCAAACATTTAAAGTAATTCAAATATAGTTAAATTAGAAACAGTTCAGATTTAGTAAAAATCTAACCCAACTGAACAAAGTGTTATTTTGCTCTAATAGGAGGAGGCATCTGAGCAGAAACATCAAACACTTTCCCCAAAAGTGGAAATAACTGCAGTTTTAAGGATAGCAAAGCATGTAAAACAGTTTACATGAAAATAGAATACCTTCAAAGTTCATTAAAATAAAAGATCTATCCAAAAATAGAGACTTTACAGACATTATAACCAGAAAAAAATGTCTGAAAGATTGCACATAATTTGGATGAATCTAGTTTTCAGAAACTTCCAGCAGTTCTTTCTCTAGAGGGCACTACAGGTCTACTTCTGAGAGACTGTCACCCGACTCTTTCATCAGAGGCTTAACACATATGCTTTAACATCCAACAATAAAGTAACTTTTTTCTATATTGTGGTGTGTTTACTTTGGTAAAGCTTTCAAACTGGAGGTAGATTTATTTTTAAGCTTTGAGAGCCATTTGTGCGTGGAGGAATATTCATATCCTTTACATAATCACAAACACTCATACCCCTTTGTACAAACACTCCACTATGAGTAATGGTTCTACATTAACATTTAGATTAAGTCAAATTCTGTCAGTATAACCGAGAAAATTAACTTCTAAGTAGTGTATTTCACATTAAAAATGCCTGATACGACGGCCATGGTCGTTTATTGCACAAGAATTATTTTATTGGATCTTCACAAGGTTATTACTCGTGCATTTATATAGAGCAAGATTTTTAATATTTTAGTTGCCTAGGTGGAGGTCAAAGAAAATACACTCACTGATGTTGGAGTGTGTGTTGTACCTAAAACAGTGGTTCCCAACCTTTTTTGTCTTGTGACCCAACTTTGGCTTCCAAAAGTTCCGGGGAGCCCAGGCATTCTAAACACACAGCTTATTGCTCATATCATTATTTTATTTCATGTGATAGTTAGACCACATTAAGGCTTTGTCATATTACTGTGAACAGAAGCAAAAAAAGCCATGATGAGAGAGGATTTTATTTTTCTCAGTGCATAATATGTACAGCCAGTTGAGCGTGTGTTAACAAGGCTGGAAATGAATGCTGGCGGCATAATGCTTAGACGAGGGACAGACAGAGATACTGCAAGTTTGTTCGTTTTTAGCATGGGCTTCGACTCGCAGTGACTTCACTTTATAAAATCTCGTAGATTAATTCAGGAAGAATGCTACAATATACATTATTTGTTATGATTAATAAAATTAGACATTTCTAGTTACCCCATTTGAATTCCATGCGATCCCATATGGGCAGAGGCGCTGCTTGTCAACAGGCAAGACAGGCGACTGCTCGGGGCCCCAGACCAGCAAGGGGGCCCCGAGGGCTTACAAACTTTAAACCAGAGAGCGCACATTTTGCAATGACAGTAGGAAACCTCCCTAAGGGTGCCCAATCTGACAGCACTCAGTGTTGTTGCCCAGCTAAGCGTTATATGCATTAATGCTGTGAAAACCAAAGTTTGAAAATGAAAGTCAACTATAGGAGAAAAAAAAGAGGAAGGGGAGTAAGCATCGGGACTCTGGCAGACATATTAGAATAGTGATGAACGCCGGTTGGAGGGCCCCCTTATTATTTTTGCCTAGGGCCCAGACAGACTCTAGAATCGGGTTGGGGAAGCCTAACCCAAGAGCTCAGTCTTATTTACCATCAGAACTACAATCTGTGTCCCTGTAATAATAAGAGGTACCTGCATCATTATAAAATCAAGAAATATTAGGACAAAGACAAAAACATTCAACAGAGACCTTAATGGGAATGGATTGTGTTCAAGTACCATGTCATTTATTATTACATCCATTAGACATTCAGAATGCAGAGACACTCAGAGAACATGTCCATTAGCAGTCCAGTGTAATTACCTGATGCATAGTGTGGAGGGTACGGGTTGATGGATGTCAGAGGGGAGGGCTTTTCGGAGGCAACATCCTCAGTGCTTTATTTCAAACATGATGTTGAATTAAGTGAAAACCTGGAGTCCTTATAGGAACCTGCATTTTGTCAAGTGGCTATTTTTTAATAATTTTTATTGCATCTTTGTTTGAACATATGTGCAGAAAATGTAAAAAGGGGAATGTCAAATTACGTTTTCTTTCTCTATTTAATCTCCCTCATATAATTGAAGTCGTAACCTCTGACTGGGAGACTTTAAATGTGCTACAGTTTACTATCACAAAGGTTGTATTTTGTCTTACGCATGGACAGAGTCGTGTTGGCTAAGCAGGTTCAGACAAGCCACGAGTACCTGTATGCTAATGCTGGACCTGCTGTGGACACAAATCTGCACTTTAACAGCCGGCCATCAGATCTGGATTCCCCCCTCAGAGTGCTGAACACATGCATTCCTCTTAAACCATCTGATTAGCATCAACATCTATCCAATGAATAGTGTAAATGGAAGCTTGAGTGCCAAATGACCGCCAGGACTGCAGGCTTAATGGCTAATTAAGTTGCAGATTTTCACATTTGCATAGAGCTATTTGTTTACACTTGGATAAAGTCATTGAGCCACCAGTAGGGCAAGTTGAAGTACAAGAATCATGTGCAATCGGTTGGGGGAAAAACTGCAATGTAAAAGAGAAAAACGTAAGAAATTTAAAAACAGACACATCAGTGCATCATAACTGTGCTAAAAAAACCTCAAAACATTGATTCACCAAACCCATTATTTAATTTACTGATTAAGTCATGTTTTCTAAACTAGGATAGGATAGGATAGTACTTTATTGATCCCCAGAGGGGAAATTCGGGCGTTGCAGCAGCACAGACAAGTAAGGTCAAAATACAAAATACATATTAAACAGAATAGATTAGATAAGATAAATAAAAATAGGGGGTATATACAAGTACAAAATGAATGATGAAGTTAACTATGCAGGGAATTGAGACAGTATGTGCAGGGAATGACAAGATAAAGTGACGAGTGATGATTAAAGTGACTGGTATGATCAATAGCAGCAAGTCATGTCAAACAGCAGAGAAGAGCGGCAGTGTTGTACCACAGTAATGCAGAGTGCAGTTATATAATATAATGTAGTATAATATGAACAATATAGTGTAATATAATGAAATGTTATATAATATAGACTAGTATGATAATATAATAAAAATATATAGAATGTACAGTATATATGTATATATATATTGATGCTAAATAATAATAATAATAATACAATGATAATAATGAAGCAGGTCATGTGGGTAGTGTTTTATTGGGGTGAAGTTTTGTGTCAAGGACGTACTGTTATTGTTGTCATAGGCTGCGGTTATACAGTCTTATGGCAGTGGGCACAAAGGAGCACCTGAAGCGTTTTGTTTTGCACCTAGGGGGGATGAGGCGTTGACTGAAGGAGCTGCCCATCTGCCACAGCTCACCATGTAGAGGGTGAGAGGAGTTATCCAGGATGGATAAGATTTTGGACAGCTGAACTAAACATGAAACTATTCTATGAGTAGGCCAACAAAAAAAGGTGGTCAATAAATATAACCTAGCCTATGTAGAAATTAATGAATAAAAAGCTAATAAGTTAAATTTATAGAACACTGTGATATCTACAGGACAGTTCTCTCAAGTGAGCTGATAACCACAAAGACTAATTCATAAAGTTCAGAGTGATCAGCTCAAAAACATTCTATTCTTTAAAATAAAATAAAAAGGCCTAAGTGTGCTCTGATATCAATTTCTACAGTAAGTCTTTTTTTGCCTCTGTGTTTGGCTGTCAATGGAGGCGGTTCGTTAGAGGAGCGCTTAGCTCTTCCTGCGCTCTGATTGGCTGATTCAGAATGGGGTCTCTGTGAGTGGCTGCAGCGCGGAGTTGAACATTTCATGAAGCAACACATCTGCCTCTGGCTGGATCAGCGGCCAGAGTCTGGAGGAGGAGGAGGAATGCTCTCTTCACTTTAAAAAGACAGAAACGCTGCGGGAAGCGGTTTTTCCTTTGAAATCAAAGTTTCACTTTGGACTGCGGCATACATATTCAAAGTGAGTATATGCTGTTATATATGTTGTTCAGTTTTCACCTTGACGCTGCTGTGCTTTATTTTATGTCTGATCTTGATTGTGTTAGTCGTAGTTTTAATATTTTTCTCCGTTATTTCCCTTACAGTTTTTGAGTTTTTCCAATGAGAGGATCAGACATGGTGAGTTGATAATTTCTTTTATTCTGACTTTATTTGCCCAGGCTTGTTGATCTTAATGCTAAAGTTTAGTAAGTTATATCTGGTAGCCTACATCTGCTGATGTAGCACTGCAGCAGAGGAGCCTCAGATGCCTCCAGAGATTATTAACAACATTGATGCAGTTAATAATGTCAGTGTAAGTGTAGAGAAAATAAAATACATTTATTTTCATTATGTGATGAATAACTGTAATTCATATTTTGTATCAAAGTTGGATTTGTTCTATTTCTTTTCTTGTTGCATGTCAACACCTCCAGTACTATCTAAGTTCTTGCAACATCTCACAGAGTGATGATGAAAACTATGGGGGCATGAGGTCATCCTCAAGCTTTACAGTATAGAGTCAGTGCAGGGGGGTCAGACAGGTTCAAAGGTTATTGCACTGACATTACTAAAGTGTGCTCTATGTTGATGTGACCCCTACAAATGAACCTGTGTGTTTGTGTCACTGCTGCTTGTTCCGTTTGTATTTCTCACCTCTCTGTCTTCTCAGACGCTTGTTTGCAGCCAAAGGTCTTACAATGCTCTCCTGAAGTCTGATGATACATTTCAATAATGGTGCACATGTAGTTAACCCATACTTTATCAATTCTAGATTCTTATTAGATTATAGATTTGACTATATGTCCTTAACTCTCACACACTCTGTCACATGATCGCTCATGCCCTGTTTGAGTTTGAGAATGAGCCACTGCATCTCACTGGCTGATTCTGACCAATCAGGACACTGAGTCAGAGGAAACCGGAGTATTATATTCCTCATTGTGTCACTGGTGGATTTTATATTGAGCACAGCTGCCCTCTTAAAGAGGCAGGACCCCCTTGATATACTGCAGATGTTTTCAGTCTGCTCCTCCAGTTGTTTCAGGTTGCAGAAGAAATGTGGAGGTTAGACATTAGTGCAGTGCTCTCTGTAATAACTTCTGTCTGGCTGCTTGAATCACGTCTGAGTCAGTGATAAAAGGGCGTTTACTTTTGTTGTAGGAGTGGTCCACAAAATAAACGGACAGATGATGAGTTTGCTTTTTGTGTCTATTGATGAAGCACATTCTTTGATGTGCAGGTTTTCTGTCGTTGAGGATTACAATAAGAGTAAAGGCTTTCTTTTAATAGCCTGGTGCAGGCCTGAGCATGCCCATGAAGCTGGGACGTCCTGTATTTGAAATGTTCATTTTCTAATTGATCTCTCTTTTCCCTCGTCTCCTCAGCTCTGTCTGCGTGACTCCAGCGACTGCTTACGGGAGCAGATGCAGTACATGATGAGGTCACTGCAGGATCTGAAACAGCTGAGAAGGACCTGTCCAGCAGTCAGGCGCCCCCTCTCTCCCATCAGTACCCAGCTCCCGGCTCTGGTGCGACACTCTGCGTTGGCACGTGCCTGTCAGCAGCGAGCACTGCAGAGAGATCAGAGAACATGTGTGCGGATGTCTGAGGCCAGCACTGCCAGCACCTACGACTCTGCATGCTGCCTGTCAAGTCCTCTAGAGGAGGAGGACGAAGACCAAGAGTCAAGCACCCAGCTGGGTCTGAGCCTCAGACTGGGTTTGGGTTCTCCCAGCAGCCGGAAAAGTTTGGACTTGGATTCGGGCTACTCTGAGTCATCGTGGCAGGATGAAGGAGTGTTTCTGAGGAGGACAAGGAATGTGAGGGTTTCATCGTCAGCCTGCCTCCGCACAAACAGAGCACCCAGCGGACGCATTAGACCCAAATCCACGTCTGACGCCTGTCTGGAAAGGTGGACATCATTTGAAGTCAGTGACCAAGAGGACTGGACGAACTCTTTACTCACCAGAGGACGAAATCGCCAACCTCTAGTGCTGGGCGATAACAGCTTTGCAGACCTCATACAGAACTGGATGGACCTACCCGAGTGTCCAGAACCTACAGAGCTGAATCTAAACCCGGGACGCAGGACGGGGAGAGGTTTCTTTGTGAACATGAGGAGGAAACTGGCTGGTTTTTCAAAGAGTGTAGAGGACAGAGTGAGGATGAGACCCACAGACTCTGTTTGTGCTAACAGAGCTGCTAATGCTCCAAAACGTCTGTCCTGCCCGCTTGTTGCATCCCAGGCCAAAGTGCCTTTTTTCCATCAGTCTCATTCCGCCATTAATAAACTGGACTCTGACTTTTACCACTTTGCTGCCCTCTTGAAGTCAGGCAGTCGGCAGCCCATCATCTGCAAAGACATCATAGGCTACGTCTGACAGTTTTCATCGGACAATAATAATCATAATCAATAATCATCAGAGTCACTTTAAAATGACTGTTATTTTTAACGTTTTATATGCTGTGACTAAACTATTGAAAATAAAGATGTTTGCATAATTGAAACTCTACAAACTCTTTATCCAACTTTTGTACTGCATGTGACACAGGATATGTCGGCTGATATAATTGAATCTTCCTTCCGCCATCTGATTTTTATTACAGCTTATTAGAGTCAAACAGAAGCAGGCTGTTACTGTCTGTGGAGTAAAACACATGAATGTAGGTTCATTTGTTTTCATTAGAAATGTAATACACTAGGCGTGCAGGATGGAGATCGTAGCTGCAGGGTTTAGTCTAATTGGTTTCTGATAAAAAAAAGAAGAAGACATGACATCTCTGACTTGCAGATTTAGAATCTTATATCCAGGACTTATATGGTCATTCAAAGTAAATGACAGAATATTTTTGGAGTGCATTGGACTCAGGTTTCTCATTAAACCATCTCTTGGGTTAAAGTGACAAAAAGTAGAAAAAGGGTGACTGAGCTATTTTAAGGTCCAGACCAGAGGCTGTATCAACAAAGCCCTGTGTCCTCGATGAGGTAACTCCCCATGTGTCCGTGGAGGAAGAGGTAAAGAGAGAGGCCAAGCAGCTGGCTGCAGATGGAGCAGAGGTTTATGAAGCAGACCGTTTCACCCTGCCTCATTTAACTCAGTGTCTCCTCTTATTGTGTTTTAGCACAAACATCGCTTAATGGAACTATGACTTCTGGGTAAAAACAAACAAGTGACATACGCTTCAAGTTAACATTTTGGCTTTGTTGTGGCTTTCCCATTCATTTAGAGGAGAGAAATAACACAGATATAAGGGGTTTTCTATGCTCCCTGCTGCAGCCAGTCTCACCAATAATGTTGGATATCAGGGACAAAGGGTTCTTGCTGAGTGTCGTTTGTCTCAGGCTGTTTATCTAGGATCCCTCCTGGAATGAGAGCTCAGCTGGGCTTTAATAAACCCTTATCAGACACAAATGACTTTCACACTGCAGTGAGTGACAGGCCATGATAGAGAACATTAGCAAAAAAAAAAGAACTTGGACAGAAATAATGTTATTCACTATTTGAGATTTTTTTGGCTAAACTGCTGGTTTTCCTTTTTAGCACATGCCAGATCCCAGAGTGCTGCAGCTGGATTAGTGCAACAATACTCTTTCCACAGCTGGCTCATTTGTGGAGAGGAGGAGAGAGAAGAAAAACAGATCCAAACCATCCTCTTAACAGGTTCCAGAACACAGATCATGAATATCTGCAAGCAGAAGAGTCGCTTTTGAACGAAAGTATTGAAAGCAGTGAATGCAAAACATCAAAAGTGATAATTAGTAATTAATTCCTCACTACTGTAAACTAAGGTACAACCAATAAGTGTTACAATTATTTAATAAACCTAAACTAAACCATACACAACTGTAAAATATGTAGGTAGATTTCATGTTTATTTAACTGGTAATTGTTGTCATTTACACTTTTTATTCTTCATGTGTATACTGAATCTAGAATTAAAGACATTATTTCTAATAGATGAGAAAGGTTAAACTTTAAATCAGGGTTTTCTATAGATGTGCTCAAGCTGAAAAAAAGTAAGAATTCGGTGACATATCAGTGTAACCCTTCACTGTTGAAGTTGCAATTCAGAGCCGATAATCAGCCGCAGAAATATTTTCAATGAACCCAGAGAAAATTGTAAATAACCATTCAAATCTGGCTCATATTTATCCAGAAAAGTGCTTGTGAAAGTTCATAGTTGGGTTGGTATGGTGTCATACCTGGTTTAAAGTTTGGACAGCATCAACATTTTATACTAAGCGGTTTTTACTCTCCAGCTATTTCACTAAGTGTCGAGTCTGTTAGGTGAAATAAAGTAGGCTACGTTTGTGCACATTATTGGATTGTGTTACCTTTTTTATTCCATTCCTACAATGATGCTAATTGCTAACATACTGGAATAATGGATGCTGACAACAATGAGGAGGACAGCGATGAAGAGGACTGCCTGAGAGAACTGCATTGATTCTGTGAGTAGTGAGCACACATCACTAAGTAAGCTACTTCTGCTAATGTTAGCTCTGGTAAGCTAGCAGGAGGTGTGTATGACTGTTACAGCAGCGTATGATGAACCTGTTTTACCGGTGGATTGTTTTGGTAACCAACAGACACTCTTTTGGTGACTTTTGTTTGATTGTTTGCTACATTTTACATTTAGATCTAAGACATTATGTTGCTAGCTCCTTTCCCTTAACTTTCTCACCTTTAGGTTATAGAACGTGTCCAATGACAATGATTTTCTCTTTTTTAAACATTTTCATTGCCTAACATCTTAGCTAGCTGATATTTGTAAAGTAGTGTTGACATTTGCTTCACTCAGAATTTGACTAGCCTATAGGGTTGCGTGGTCTTGATTGCTCGGCTTAAAAAAAAACAAGAAAGAAAGTTTTCACAAACCAAAGTTTAATATGGTAGTCTTTTATAAAGTAACATAGTAATTCATGCTAGATACTTCTTACAGTCTATGGAAAAGAATGACATTCGTCAGCATTCACCATCTTTATCCTGATAATATATCTCACACACCCTTTAGAGGAAGAGTTTTAGAGGTAATAAAATGACTTAACTCTCCCACTATGAAGCAAAAATAATGTCTTCCACCCACAATTTGATTTTAGCACGTGAGACTTGGATCTGGCAGACATGGCTACCGGATGACCATAAACAGTATTCAAGACGTTGGCTCAACAGATGATTTGCTGAGGCAGCACACACTTTCACGGTGGCCCAGTCCAGTGTGGTGGACACACAACAAATCTCCAGTTGATTACTGAAGAAGCAGTGCTGAGGATTGACTTTCTTCTTGTCATGTCTGATATGGGTTTCCACCGTGAGCATGAGCTCATCCTCATTAGTCCTCCACTCCTGACATCTTCGTTGTAGTTATCCCTTTTGTAAACGGAGAGGAAAGACGGGCCATGTGTTGAGGGTTGGCAAACTCTTATTAGAGGACAACCAAGACTTTGCACTTTGTTCTTAAAAAAGGCCTTACTTGATAGTTGGGCTCTGGGGGCATTTTTCTGAAATTATGTAACTGATTTATTGGATGCTGATGTTAGATTTGATTGATGAGTCCCTTCATTTTAAACCTAATGTGTGTCACTGGTAAAAAAAAAAGCTGAGGCTAAAACTGGGTTTTTATTTTAGAAAAAGGTTGTGTTTTTCTCTAAATGTACCATAGGCTCATACTCTGGAGACCTTTGCATATAAGGGCAAGTCTTCGTCTGCTTTGCACACTATCTATGTGTCTATGCAGAAAAATACTGGACAGTGCTCATTTCTCATTTCTCAGGACTTCTTTATGCTCTCTGTCCATGACTCTTTGTGCACCCTCAGCCTGGAATCTGTTGCAGAATGACTTGAAATTCAAGGAGCTGGTTTCCTTAAATGTTTTTAAATGTAAAATGAAAGACTTGGGAGCAGATTCTATATGATGTTGGTGCTTTTAGCTGGACTGCTTGAACTATACTGACTCCCAGTTGTGTCTCTTTCAATGCAAAATGTAGTGTTTTATATATTTTATTTATTTATATATAAATAGGTTCTCAATAGGACCAACCTGGTTAAAGAATAACTAAAAAACAAAGAAAACCAAGTAATTTTCTTCCATTTTCAATGAAGGGCTGTTTGGATTTCACATTGTTTGTGAAATCTAAAGAGGAAACTTATGAACACACCTACAGTGTATATATATATATACATATGGGCTCCATGTCCCTCAAGAGAAACAGGAAGCAGCAGAAAGTAGTCATACGTTATGGCGGTCTGAATGGAACTGACTATTAACATTATACTGTTATGAAACATTTTCAATAAGGAGTTAGAGGTGTTATACGTCATGTGAATATTTTCCTATATTTTGCTGGAATCTTGAATCATGTCACGCTTCCAGGGAAAGCAGGTTTCCATTTAATAAACTGCAGCAGGAAAATAATTCCTTCATGTCACTGTGGGTTTAATCATGACACCTAATAATTGTGAATTCCACTGAGGGATAACAAAATGAATATGGTTTCATAACTGAGAACCTACATGTTTCCAAGCATGGCCGCTTCGTGGGTTGTTTCTACCAGGGAAAAGGTCTGGTAGAGAATGATTGTGATTAATGTTATTTATGACATGAGTGTGTAAAACTCCCACATTATTACCTGGACTGTATTCACAACCTGCATGCTGTTCCCACTGTACGATTCTTTAATATGAATTATTGTACTCTTTCTACCATTAAAAGAACTTACAACCACATATTCTGTTATTAATAACCTTTTGAATATAAAACATAAAACTACAATCATTTAAATCTCAAGTGTTGTGAATTTTCTTACACAGTGTCAAATATATTTAAACAGATGTTTAGTATTTAACATGAGAATACTCTCCTTGTGACACACATGATTCAAGTCATCACAGGAGCTTTATTTAGCAACTGCAGAGCTAGTCGACAGAAGTAGAAATACTTCTGTCGACTATAAACTGGAGCCAGAGGTTCATGGGAATCATAACAGATGAGATGACAAGGGGGGAAGTATCCCAGAGGACTTTGCTTTGGTTCTCATGGCCAAACATGGCCTCTGAGGTCAGACCCTACTTCCTCTGTTCAGTATAACATACAAATTTATAACACACAAATCCCATAGTAGAAATATACGGCCCCTTTAGAGGCCAAAATAGCAGACTGTTGTGTGAGTATGTCATTAATTAAACAACCAATTAAGCACACAAGCACAAAACAATACCACTCACTAGATGATATGTTTTTTTAATATTCCAACATTCGATTTAAAAAAATATATTTCAACATCAAACATTTGTTAAAACAATATAAAGGGGTTAAAAGAAGCAATGCAGAGAAACAATTATATTAGCTTACTTGCAAAATAAGCATAGTTTTTGAATCCATTTGGCTCAATTCACTGCACAAAATCAATTCTCATCACAATATCATTTGCTGTGTAACCATTATTTAATCATTTATAGAATTAGACATTTCTCACTTTTGAGGTCCTGCAGATCTTTAAGCATCAA